CTGAGAAACAGTTTGTGTGGTCAACTCAACCCGGTCATGATGTACTGTTAAGACATCTGGACATAACAACACTGTTACAACAGCGGGATGCGATTTTGACTGAAATAACTGCACATTCTTTTTAGCTTCTGTAATTTGCTTTGCTTGTAGCCCTGCCTTATAAAAACCCTACCCCCCCGAGTCTTCGGGGCCGTTTTTCCTTAGTCGGAGAGACGGTTGCTGAGCTCAGCTTAATAAAACCTTCGGAACCCTAATTTGATATCCAGCCTCTTTGTTAATTGTCTGGACCCAACACATGGAGATTTTTTTTTCTCCTCTGATCTTAGAAACCAGAGTTCCAAGAGGGCTACTGTGGAAACAGGCCAACACTTTGAGCATGCGCACACATCTGGCTTTCAAACCATTCCCTGGACCAGCCCATAAGTCCCACAGGACTGTCTCAGGGACCAGCTAGGTGTGCAAGGGCCCAGCCCAGGAGAGGGCTTTGGGCTCCCACCACCAGAGCAGCTCTGCTTTCACATGTTTTCTATTACTGTAAGATTTCACCTGGAAAGAGGTTCCATTGTTAAAGAAGAAAATTGAATATTACTAATCCAAGTCCTTTGTCCATTTCCTTAATCGGAGCTCCTGAGCACATGAAATTTTGACTAGAAACAAATTCAAGCATGGAAAGGATAGCCCCAAACACAACTCATATCATCTTCAACTTGACATCACACCCAGTACTTCAGGGGAGAAGACATGCATACATGTCCATGAGCTGTGAGCCACATTCCTCAAAAATGTGACTGAAGGACTCCCAATAGTCTACATACATGGCATGCTTTCCCAGTTGCATTTTCCTGGTCCCTCAAAGGACAGGTGGTCTTAGAAACGTAAACAGGAACATTCTTTGATGGAAGCGCGCTGTATCAGTTATCAATATTACCGCAGAGAATAGGATGTCAATGTTCAGTGCTATACAGAGTGACTTACCTTTTCCCAGCAGCCTTCTGGAGTGGGAAAAGCAAGTATTGTCATCAATTTTGCAAATGAAGAAAATGAGGCCTCCTGAAGTGATGTGCCCCAGTCACTTTGCTAGTTAGTGGCACAAGTGTGTCTGAACCAGGTCTGTCATGCCTCTTAGGCTCTCAGTACTCCATCTGCTACACCACAAATTTCAGACAGGAGCTAATAATTCTGAAGGGCAACTATATGGGACAATGAGAGAGGCAGATGCCAGTACGTCAGTTTCAGCACGCATTCGGTTTCTAGGTCATTGATATATTTAGAAAAACATTGCACAGAGGTGTTTATAAATAGTGCATAAGAAGAAATGATTTTGAGATGAAGGAAATAAGCTTATCCTGTAAGAATTCAACTAACTTCAGCCACATGTAATGAGTAGAGATTAATGTTTCCTAGGTACACTGGATCCTCCATTTAACTCCATCTTAACCACTGATGCTAACCTATCACCAGAAGGGGCACGTTCAGCCGGGAAACCTGAAAGTGCTAACAAGTCAGTCTTGGGCCCTAAGCAGACTGCATTGTGGGGGCAGGAAAGAAAAGTGGGACTTTGAAGTGCAGCATTCATCAGCTGGGGGTATTCATAGCTGGTGTGTACCTGTCCCTCACGTGATCTCTTTCATCAATCACTATCTGATCACAAAGTCACCATTTTTCAGTAACTCAAGACCAGGAACAAGGAGTGTTCTGAAGGTGGCTTAGCATAGGAGATCCCCCACAGTGAATTAATAATAATTGGGGTTCTAGATTCTACTGGTCTCTTGGTCAACAGGAGCCTACCACCCAGGGTCTGGTCATCTCTGGGTGTACTGAGGAAATCTAGTCTCTGTGCCAGAAAAGCTGGGGACCAGAACTCAACCGTAGTAAATCTGCCAAGATGTGCCCCTCCCTGAGGCCTCCTGGCAGGCACCCTTCTCTCAAACACCAACAGTGTAAACAGACTGCAGGGACATTGTGCCTGCCAGGACTTGGGAGCCAGGAGGAGAAGCAAGTTCTGCAACTGCCTCGGGCCTATGAACCTTAGAAAGTTCCCAGTTGGTACACTGGAAAGAGGGAGCAGGAGAGAGGGAGCCAGGGCAGGTAGGCCCTGGAGACAGTGTCTGCTGATGCCAGAGGCATGAGCTCATTTGCACAAATGACTGGGCGGAAAGCCAAAGGGAATTAACCGCCAGCCCTCCTCTCCACCAGGCTCAGAAATTTTGTCTCAAAATCTGACCACCATCCCTGCTGTTCTACTTCCACTTCCTCTATAGCCTTGGGCTCTTTTATCAAGTGAAGAGGGTGAAAGAAGGAAAGACTCTAATGTTCTGTCCAGAGATTTGCAATAGTTCCCAGGCAGCAGGGAGGTTAAAACAGCCCTACATTTGAAAAACTCCAGGGCTGTCCGTGAGAGCCTGTGGGTACAGCAAACTGAGCCCACTGGGCTGCTGCTGAATTCCCTGGTTATGAGACGGGACCCCCATGGGGGATAAAGGGCTGGGAAGAGTCGCCACTGGTCACGTGCAAGGAAGGACCAATTACAGTTAAGGATCATTTTGATACTAGCTAAAGAGAAGACTCAAACTATCAATAGTAGCCAATACATTGTTTTTATTTTAAGGTTTTGTTGTTTTCTCAATTTGTTCCCTAGGTATTTCTTATGGCTTTAATAATGCAGTGGATCAACTGACTTCAGGACTGGAGTGGTTAAGCAACAGGTGCTGGGTAAGTCCCTTACTGACCTCCCCCCTGAAATATGGACCTCCCATCATACAGCTGTTGTCAAGATTAAGTGAGACATGCACATAAAGAGCTTAGCACAGAGCAGAGTAACTGCTCCATAAATTGTGTTCCTATGAGCTGTGTGGTTTATTGTAAACTATAAATGCAACCCAAAGGGAAGTAAAATTCCATGAAAAAAAAAATTAGGAAGTCTCATTATGACCTGCCTCAAATAGTAGAAATCTCTGATAAGAATGAGGGTGTGTGATTAGTGGCACAGCGTGGCTGCAACCAGGTCTGTCCAGCTCCCAACCATCCATCCACCACACCACAAACTTTAGAGCGTGATAGAGGGGACAGAGGACTGGCTGGGAGGGGAGCTGAGTGGGGACTTCTGGGGTGTTACTGAGTTGTTAATAGTGTATTCCGTTTGTAGCCATTCAATGAGCGGTACACTTTTGTGCATTTTTGTTATGGTATATTTCAGCAAAAAGGTTAAAACAAGGGTTACTGTCTCAGGATATGGTTGTATGAATACACTGGGATTAAAGAGTAAGATAAAGTCTCCCCCACCTCTCAGTTTGTCTAGATGGAGGACAAACAGATTGTGTTCTACAGACTTGGTTACAGTAACGATGCATGGTTTTTCACTGGCTTTTGATGATCTGTGACATTTCAAAAATATAAGTTGTTTCATTAGGATACTGGTTGGTTAGGTATTATAAATGTCTTCAACTTTGTCTCCATTCACCAATAGAAATAGATTGCAATTTAGGTGAGAGGGCACTGAAGTTAAAACTAACTTACATTTATCGTTTTACCAAAGGAGAGTGTAGGAAACCTAATCCATTCTCCAGGTCAGAATTTTGGGCGCCACCTGCCTCTTGCAATTTAGATATATCTCCATGAAGAGAACTCAGTTGGCAAAAATTGACTGAGCTCCTATCACATCCCAGGCCCTGAGCTGGGTGCTGGAGACAGAGTTTGGGACCTCAGTATGGGTATGAGCATGAAAAGTAGAAGAGGGAGAATCATGTAGGGAGATGTGTAACAGGTCCATGCAATAAGAGCCATAGGCACTGAAGTTGGAGAGGGTTGGGGTGTAATAGGCAGGGTCGGGCCTGCCAGAGAAGTGCAGGGAAGGCCTCATGGAGAAGGTGGTGCCCAGGCTGAGTCTTCAAAAGATGTACAGGTGTGCCCCCGGCAGACAGGGAGGCCCAGCATTCCAGAAAAGCAGAGTGAGCAGGTCGAGGCAATGCCCAGTGAGGAGTTGTCAGGGCGTAGAGGTGTGGTGACGAAGTCCCACAGAGGCCCCACTAGGAAGGCCTTGTCTGCCCTACCAGGAGCGTAGCCTTTCTGTGGGTGATGGGGAGCCCCAGAGGGTTTCAGCTGGGTACGGACAAGTCCCATTCTGTGCTGTAGAAGAACACTCGCACTGACCACTAAAGTAGCAGGAGGCAGAGCTAGAGCGAGCTTGGGGCACCAGCCGGGCTACTGCACTTGTCAGGCAGGGGCTTGAATGATGTGGAGGGTTTGGGGCTGGGAGATGTTAAAGCAGGGAGGCAGAATTTGTGGGGCATGCTTCTGGATGGCTCTGAGGGACACGAGGCAGGTAGGAAGCTTGGATGACTCTCAGGTTTTGGGTCGGGTGTGGCCAGGTAGATGGCCATGCTCCTCGCAAAGGAAATTCGGGGACGCAGGAAGAAGCCAGTGGAGGGGGACAGACCAGAAATCAAGAGAGGAACTAGCTGATGGAGCAAGGTCCTGAACCTGGAGGGAGGTGCAGGCTGACTGCGGGGAGCGATGGCTCTCTCCCACCGACAGCACCTCTCTAGGCTGAGCCTGGGGCTGAGAAGGGAGGGGGTGAAATACAGAGAAGTTTGTTGGTCTGGGGGTGGGACGCTGAGGGAGCCCACACCTGACAGGTTCAAGGCTCTCAGAGCAAGTGAGCTCAACCTGGGAGCTGGCAGGGGTCTGAGGAGAATGGCCAGAGGGTACAAGGTGGCCATTGCAGGAACTGGGAGAGGGACGTGACCCAAGTCATGTGAGAGACTTACTGAGGTGGACCTGGGGGCCACGCTGAGGGTGAAACAATTGCCTTTTTTTTTTTGCTTTTTGCTTTTTAACATTTGTAGGCTTTTAATTGTCCCAAGGCTGTTACCATGAACTTAAGAGACAAATTGGTGACAAAAACTCAGTCCCTAAATACACGTACATCTAAGCCTTTGTTAGAGACACAGGGGTAATTGAATTGTGAACAGAGATACGGCAGAAGTAGATCTGCCAAGAGGACTGGGGCTTCCTGATGTTTTTTAGGGGAAGGAGTCCATGCCCTTCGATGTAACACAGAGCCACATGAAGGCCACTGTGCACTGACCCCTCTTTGCCTCTGAAGACCCACTAGGGAGAAGAAGGACAGGCAGTGATGGGCTGTCCACCCTCCTAGAACCACGATCTGTCATTTCCCAACCTGATTCCAGCCTACTTCTGCAATTCCAACCAATCTTGTTTCCATTTTTCCAGGATATTATGCGTTTTTACCAGGTAGGGATGAGTAAAAAAAGGAAAGAAAGTTAGTTTCAAAAGCTTAATATCAATTCTTTTCTCAAGTTGAGACTTAGAGAGCCAGTATCGTCTATAACCCAAATTTCAGAACTTAATGTCACCTGGGAAATCATCCTGTTCTTTCTCTTATGCATCTTCCCAGCCAGATGGGAATCTTTCTTCTAGTAAAAGGTGATGAAGACAGGTGATGGGACTTCCTGTTCACAACTCCCTCTAGCACCCAGCACAGTGATCGCATTAACCACGGGGATGTCAGAGCCTCCATGGTTTGCTTAAACAGCTGTCCCTGCCTAGGTTAGAAGCGTCCTCCCCGTGTCTAATTCAGTCGATTATGGATAGAGATGATGCCCAATGGCCTCCTTGGGACACCATCTGGCTCCTTAGCCATAGATGCTGCTCCAAGTCTTGTTGTCAGACTGGATGTCTGGCAAAGGACAGTGGGAATGTGCGCGCTGCTCAAGCACACAGGTCTAGGTTCACCCAGCAGTGTGCTCTTTGAAGCCACTGATTGTTACTCCCCGAAGGTCTTGGACCACTTTCAGCCCTGGGCAGGAGGTGGGTGGGTGGGGAAGTAAGGTGGGGGTTTGCTGACAGTCAAGTTCAGGTTTTTCACACACATTAAAAGACAGACTCAGAATCGTACCATTTGGGACAATACAGATGGACTTAGAGACTATTATGTTAAGTGAAATAAGTCAGTCAGAGAAAGACAAATACTATATGATTTCACTTATATGTGGAATCTAAAAAACTGAATGAACGAGGAAAGTAAACAGAAGTGGTTTCAGAGATAAAGAGGAACAACTGATGGCTGCTAGTTGGGAGGGGGATGGGGATGAGAGAGAAGGGGGAGGGGTTAGACAGCATAAATATACAACTACAATACTGCCACAGGGACATGAAAGACAGTCCGAGGAATATAATTAATAATGTTGTAAATAT